CTGTTTTTAAAATGCAATATTTCTTTCCCTGAGTTCTCTGGCCTCCATTTCTTTCTCCACAGTTAAAACTGATACAAAATATTCCTTTGATATCTCTCTCATCTCCTGAGGTTCAATACAAAGATGACCTCTTTGATCTTTACAGGGCCTTCCTTGCTCTCTAGTTGCTTTCTTGCTTTTAGAATGTCTTTGGATTATCCTTAACCTTATCTATCAAGGCAATTTCATGTTACTCTTTGCCTTCTGATATCCCTTTTAAGAATGCCCCTGCGCTGTTCATACCGTTCAAGAGATACATTTGAACCCAGTTGTTTATCGCTAATATGATTGTTTTTTATTCTTGACGAAAACCTGAATATCTTTTTCATTCATTGTTCTCTAATCCTCCCAGCCTTACCTGTCACGATAACCGGAACATAATGACTCTGAAATTTTGGTATCACACTTTTGAAAGCCTCCCACTTATCAGACGTCTCGTTACCTGCAGTCTACTTCAATCAACTTTTGGAAGTTCTTTTCTCATGCCATTAAAATTTGCCTTACTCCAATTAAAACTTAAACTTTTACGGAAGGCTTATCCTTTTCCATTACTGTTTTAAAAATGATGGAATCACTATCACTAGACCCTAATGGTTCCTGTGCAATCACTTCAGTCCGTTGCTATGCCTTATTAACCAAGAGAAGCTCAAGTTTTTTGTTTTTTTTTCTCTCTTTCTTTAGTAGGAACATCGACTTATTGCTAAAGAAGAGTTGTTGAACATATTTAACAAATTATTCACCATCCCAACCTTTAACACTACAGCAGTTCCAGTCAATGTCTGGAAAATCAAATTCACAGACCATGACAACTTTATTATTCTTACAGGTATCTGAGATCTCTCTATATATTTGTTCCTCAATTTCCTTCTGACAATTGCGGGACCTATCGTACAATCCCATTAGATGATCATTCCTTTCTTATTTCTAATTTCAACCCATATGTTTTCATTGGATGATTTTTCAGAAATATCTCTTCGAGTTACAGCAATGATTTTTTCTTCAATTAAAAGTGCCACTCCTCCTTATTTGCCTCCCTTTCATATCCTTCCTACCGCTCCTGAAACATGGAACACTAGTATGGGCAAAATATCTTGCAGGCTGTGTATAATGTAGGAAAATGTGAAATCATTCACTTTGGCAGGAAGAATAAATAAGGGTAGACCTATTCCTTAAATGGTGAATGACGGCAGAATTCTGAGGTGCAGAGGGATTTATGGTTTATAAAGTATAAGTTACAAAATTAGTATGCAGATATGGCATGTAACCATGGGGTCACACAACGTAGTAACAGGGCCAGTGGTCCAACTAGTCCACGCTGACCATGTTCCCAGACTAAACTAGTCCCATCTTCCTGCATTTGGCCCGTATCATTCCAAACTTTTCGAATTCATGTACTTATCTGAATGTCTTTTAAATATGGTAACTGCCCGCATCCACCATTTCTTCTGGCAGTTCATTCCACACACTGACATTCTCTATGTTTAAAAAAAAACATTGCCTGTCATGTCTTTTTTAAATCTTTCTCTTCTCATCTTAAAAATATGCCCCTTAGTTTTGAACTTTCCCACCTGAGGGAAAATACCTTTGCTTATTCGCCTTATCTATGCCTCTCAGGATTTTATAAACCTCCATAAGGTCACGGCTCAACCTATAACCTTCCAGTAAAAGAAGTCCCATCTTATCCAGCCTATTTTTATAAATCATACCCTTCGTTCCCAGCAATATCCTGGCATTTTTATTTCTGAAGCCATTCTAGTTTAATAATATCCTTCCTATAACAGGACGACCAGAACAGTACACAGTACCCCAGCTGAGGCCTCACCAACATCCTTACAAACTCAACGTCCCAACTCCTGTACTCAAGGCCTGAGTAATTAAGACAAGTGTGCTAAATGCCGCCTTAACCAACCTGTCTCCCTGTGAGGCAAATTTCTAAGAATAATATACCTGAAACCCTCGATCTCTCTGTCCTGCAACACTAGCCGTCCCATTAATTGTATAAGACCTGCCCTTGAGAAGTATTGCACCTTGGTAAAACAAACATTTATCCAGATAAAAATCAGTCTGCCAATCCTCAGCCCATTGACCCAATTATCAAGATCTCATGTTATCCAGAAAACTGATATGCTGTATACTTTATTATGACAGGAATTAAACATCAGTATATGGATGTTTTGCTTCATTGTACATGGAAGGGATGAGACTAAATCTCAAATATCATGTACATGTTTTGGTCTTCTGTACCTTTATTTGAAGTGATTCAGAGGAGGTTTACTAGATTGAAACTTGGAATAAGTGAGTTGTCGAAGGAGGATAGGTTGGGCAGACAAAAAGGAAAAGGACTAGAAGAGAACTGCTTATTAAAACAGGAAAGTAATGTGATGTGAGGCAGGATATAGGGTCTGGTGAAGTAGAATCTGTATGGGTTGAGCTCGATGTGATAAATTGTGGATTTTTTAAAAAATAGATTATGGGAGATGTATAATGGCAAACATTGAAAAAGGGCATGGAAAAGCTATGAAAGTTATTCATCTCAGTCTGACATAAAAACAAAATGGGAAACATGGTCTAACCATGGCAGAGAAAGGGAAACGAATAGGTATTACATTTAAGGAAACAGCGTACAAAATTAGGTAAATAAAATAACAGAAATGAGGATTGGGAACAATTTAGATTTCAGCAAAGGGAGACAAAGGGATTTAATAAGAGGGAGAAAATAGAATATGAGAGTTCTCTTGCAGGAAACCATACAAGCCAACAGCATTTTTCTTCCTTCATTCACAGGATGTGGGCATAGCTGGCTTGTCCAGAATTTATTACCAATCCATGATTGCCCAGAGGGCTGTCAAGAGTGAACTGCATTGCTGTGGGGTTGGAGTCACATGTAGGCCAGTCCGAGTAAGGATGACAATTTCTTTCTCTAAAGGATGTTTGTGTACCAGATGGACTTTTCCTGACGAACGACAATGGTTTCATAATCATCATTAAACTCTTAATTGAAGGTTGACAGTAAAAGATTAGTCAAGAAGAATATAGGGTCTCCTTACAGTCAGAAACCAGGAAATTATATTGGGGTACAAAGTGATTGCAGACCAAATAAATATATCTTAGATTTTCATAAAGGAGGACCCAAATAATGTCCCAAAATTAAGTGATCCCAGGGTCTTCTGGGAAGATGGAATTGAAAGTGTTAATATTAGTAAGAAAATGATATTGGGAGAACTAATGGGATAACAAAAAGATAAATCCCCAGCGATTGATAACCTTCATCTCAGAGTACCTCAGGAAGTGGCCCTAGAAATGACAGATGCGCTAGTGGTTATCCTTCAAAATTCTACAGACTCTCAGAGTTCCTATCGATTAAAGGGTAGCTAATGTAACTCCAGTATTTAAGAAGGGAGTCAGAGAGAAAACAGGATTTGCATAGCATTGATGATGGGGAAAATGTTCGGGTCCTCGATTAAAGGTGATATCGCAGAGTACTTGGAAAATAGAGACAAGATCAGACAAAGTCAGCAGAGCCTTTTTCAGTGATGTCGATCTGAGACTCTATGTTGGGCATGAATTCCCTCCAAGCCACTCACCAGCCTGACTTGGAAATATATCGCTATTCCTTCAGTGTTGCTGGGTCAAAATCCTGAATTTGCTCCCTAATAGCATTGTGGGTCCAACTACAGTACAATGGTTCACGAAGGGAGATAACTACCACCTTCCCAAAGACAACTAGGCTCAGCAATGCCCACAGGAATGAAACAAAAACATTATCAAGGCCAAGTGGGAATGTGGAATTGAAGCATAAAGAGATAAGCTTTGACATTTTTTGAGGCTCAAGGGGCAGAACGGACTACTCTGGTTCCTATTTCGTATGTTCTATACTCCTTCTATCAAAATGAATCATCTCAACTGACTTGATTAAAATTTTCCAGATGTTAATTGAAGCTGGTCCATGCTGATAAAGAAGAATTAATTCTCTGGGTGGTTGAAGTAGCAGCTCAAACCCCCTCCTGACCCGCAATAATCAGACAAGACTTTATTCCCCAATTTATTCGAAAATACATGCAAATGAGAAACAAGAATTGGCCACTCGGCTCTTTAAGCCTGCTCTGCATCTCAATAAGGCAATGGCTGATCTGATTTCAACCTCAGCTCTGTGTGCCTGCATACCTCCAAACATCTTTGATCATCTTGGTCATCGAGAATCTGTCTGCCTTTGCCTTTAAAAAAAAATAAAGATTCTGCATCCACTGCTTTTAGACAAAGGGGATCACAAAGATTCTCAACCCTCAGAGAGAAAAGAAATGTTTCTCACCATTTCAAATGGGCTCACCCTGACCCATTAAACAATGACCCTCAGTTCGATATTCTCCCACAAGAGGGAGCATGTTTTCAGGTCCCCTCAGGATCTTTTATGTTTCAATTTAGTCTCCTCTTTCTTTTCTAAATTCCAGAGTGTATAGGCTTAGCCTGTCTAGCCTTTCCTCAGAAGGCAATCTATTCATTCCACGTATTAATCAATTAAATCTTCTCTGAAATATTTCCAACGTTTTAACAACCCTCGGTAGTACAGTGAGCAGTACTGAACACAGTGCTCCAGATGCAAGTCTCACCAGTACAAAGGGGGACTGCATGTATCTGAAGATGGCCCATGATTTCCCACTTGCTTACAGTAATGCTTTTCCAGCAAGCTCAGGTCATATTTATCCAATTACAGACTGACATAGGCTATGGTCAGACAGTGGGCAGTTTGTATTGTTACACAGACAGCATTGTTGTGGTATCACTCAAACCTCCCACTCTGGCTCGGCAGAAATGATGACTGGCCATGCAGCCAGTTCCCACAGCCTGATTTGTCCTTAATTTTCAACGTCTATCCTTTCAATGACATTAATGATCCAGGTGGGGTTTTATGACAATCCAGCAGCTTTCATTTCACTTTTGACTGTTTTAAATTTATTTTCCAGGGAATTGGAAAGGGAGAATTTGCAGACAGGCAGCTCAAGTCAAATATTGGATCAAGAGCTGCCAGTAACACTCATTTTTCAGAAAGTTTGAACATGGAAGGAAGAAGTATCAGTGAAGATAAACCATATTATGTGGACAAGCCTTTAGTCTATTGTTTGGTCTGTTGAGACATAAATGCAATCAAAATAGGGTCACAACAATGACATCAAGCAGCACTTGCTCTGTAATATCATGGTGATGGATCTCCATTTGAGTTAAGCAAGGGCTACTCAGCTCCTGATCTCCTTACATTCTTGTTTGCAAACATGGACCAAGCAGCTGAATTCTAGTGAGAGTGACTACCCACTATCTTAAGGCGACATTTGACAGAGTATTGTATCAAGGAACCAGAACAAAGCTAAAGTCAATTGGAATCAATCAATGTTACTCTTTTGACTGCGAATTTTGAAAAGATTGTGTCTTCAGACCTGAGCAGAGTGAAACAAGGTGAATTTATTCAAACTTGTACCACATGTATGCAGAAGAGGTCTCTAAGTCTAGCTTGGAGACACTCTACCAGTTACAACTCAAAACAGCATATTACGAAATTTTCACGTCAGAATGGTAGCATGTAACATTGGCATAAAATGAATTATATGTTACTCGTTTACAGTAAAAACAGGATGCTGTTTCATTTCTTACAAAGTTCTGAGTCTTCCAGTTTTGACAGGACTTCCACTTCCATGTTATCTTCAGAGCATCTCTGTCCCCACTCGCTCACAGCACGCAAGCCTTACGTGACTAAGTACCTGTTGATGGTTCACAGTTATGTATATGCAGTTAAACTACCGGAGCCACAATAACTGTGTCCTTATATGGTTGTATTTTACTCCTAGCCCTCTACTGTACTGCTTGTCCAATCTCATTTCCTACTTGTTCTGTGTTTAAATGCCCTGCATCTTTTATATTCCCCTTGTACACTCTCTACCCTCCTTACCCTACTTCATGCTGATTGGATAATATTGAATACAAAGGAAGAGGTGTGTGATTGTACGGGGCCAACCATTTCAGCTGCAGGAGTTCCTCTGGATTAGGATCTAGTCCCAACTACCTTCAGCTGTTTCGTCAAAGACCTTCCCTGCATCATAAGGTCAGAAGTGAGAATGCTTGATGATGATTGCACAATGCTTAGGAGTATTTGTGACTCTTCAGATACTGAAGCAATCGATATATAAATGCAGTATCCTTGGACAACTTTGAAGTTAGCCTGCGACATGACAAAGAACATTTGCATCAACAAGTACCAACAAATAATGACCAAATCTGACAAATGAGAATCTAACCATAAACCATTGATATTCAATGGTTTTATCTTCACTGAATTCCCCCACTATCGTCATCCTGGGTGCTAACATTAATGAGAAACTGAACTGGACCTGCCATCTCAATACTGTACCTACAAAAGAAGGTCAGAAGGGAAGAGATTCTATGTCGATTAACTCAATTCGTGACTCCCCAAAGCATTTGCATCATCAGGAGTGTAAGAAAACACTCTCCGTTTGCTTGGGTGGAGGCTGCTCCAACAACACTCAAGAAACGTGACAACATCCAGGTCAGTGCAGTCCACCTAACCTGTGCCCCATTCAGTACCTTCAGCATTTACTCCTTTTATCACTGAGGTACAGTGGCAGCAGAGAGCACCATCTACAAGATATACTGCAGTTATTCACCCACGCTCCTTTGACTGCCCTTTCCCAGCCGCAAACTACCACCTGGAAGGACAAGAGCAGAAGATGCGTCAAAACACCACCATCTGCAAATTCCGCTCCAAGGTGCATGACATCCGGACTTGGAGCAGTATCAGCGACGATCCCGTTGAATGGTGCAGTGGACTTGATCGACCAAAAAGCCTATTTCTGCCTTCCATTTTCTAACATGATTTTTTAAAAAGTTGATTAATGCAGTACTCAGACTTGTGTTCAGTTCTCTACTTGTTCTCTGGTGTTTGTTGAAGCTCCAGCGTCATCTCCCTGGTCTTATATTTCAGTCTGTGATCAAGAACCGAAAGTATCTCAAAACCCTCTCAACCACCTGATCTTTCTGTCCAACCACCTTAGGAATCTCTGCATACGGGAGGTGATGGTCTAGTGGTATTAACACTGCCTGTTAGTCCAGAGACCGAGATAATGTTCTGGGGACCTGGGTTTGAATCCCAACATGGCGGATGTTGGAATTTGAATTCAATAAATAGCTGGAATTAAGAGTCAAATGATGACGATGAATCCATTGTCGATTGTTGGAGAAACCTATCTGGTTCATTAATGTCCTTTAGGGAAGGAAACTGCCATCCCTCCCTGGTCTGGCCTACATGTGACTCCAGACCCACAGCAATATGGTTGACTCTGAA